GTCCTTGAACCCCTTGCGGCTGCTGGTGTCCGACAGGTACACGGCGCCGTTCACCGGGCTGCTGGCCAAGTAGTACTTGTGGGCCGGGCTGTTGCTGTTGGCGAAGGTGAAGAAAAAAAAAACATGTGAGACACAATTAACAAGGACTAGAAGAGGCCATTTGGATTCACCGGAGGGGAAAAGAAAAGACAGTGAGATGAAATGAAAGCGGGTTAAAAAAAAAAATGAAAGGAAAAAAAGAAAACTGGCATTTTAGACGGGACTCCCACATTCGCAATTGTTTATGAGAAGAGTGCGCAGAAGATCTACTCAGAGCTTGCAAATTGTTCTAATAGCACACGAGCTGCAGCAGCACTGACTGGAGAGAAAAGCTCGCGAGGACACTTTCTCTGACCTGTAATTTCTCTGTGATATTAAAATTACAAGGCTGTGTCAGCAACACAGTGACAGCGATTGCAAAAAGTGGACTCCCTTGTCCCTTGTTTTGGAGATATTTGGACAAAAACAAAGCTGCAAACACAATTGTGGCAATTTGATGTCTGTTTGCATTCGTCTACGTGTGCCTTGTGATGGCAACCAGTTCAGGGTGTAGCCCGCCTAACTGTTCAACGACAGCTGGGTTGGGCTCCGGCACGCCCCCGACCCTCCTGAGGATAAACGGAATTAGAAAATGGATGGATGGATGACATTGACGGCAACAAAGCTAGTCAGCACAACACACCGCGCGATTCATTTGTTTCAAGAGCATTTGCTCAGTTGGTTTTACTTTTACCTTTCAGTTGGCGTGCGACACAATGAACAATTTGTTCTCTAAACCCGTATTCCTTTGTTGAAAAAGCGGGAAAGCAAAAGTATTTTCCAATTTTGGGCTTTTTGTAAACTGCCGCACTAGTAAAGCCGAGCCGAGGCATTTTGCAAGGTATTTTGTCTTTCGCTGCGCTGTACAAACAGCAACATGGGTGCATCTAAGCAAGGTAGTCATTAGCGTCCACTCCAAAGATAACCCGAGTTTATCGGGTCCTTGGCAGGCCTCGATCAGCGTTTTGGAGACGGCTGTCAGCTGGCCGTCATTCAGACTGGATTAAAAGCCAATCTCCACTCTTTAACCTTGAGGCTGTTTTATTTTTATTTTTTCGGGCATGTGTGTGGTCCCCTTTCTTAGAATGCCGCAACAAGGCAAGGCTTTGTTGGGATTGCCGACTGATTTCATTTGACAAATGACCTTCGAGCAACAGCCAACGTCGAGGCCACCGGCCACGTCGAAAAAAATCAGGTGGTTGGTGACAAACAAACAAGTAAATAAGTAAATAAATAAATAACACTGTAGGTGGAGTAGGTCGGTATCCAGCCTCAATAAGCGCATCCTCGTTGCCGGGTGCAATCAGCTGATAGCTTATCAGCTCCAGGGGCGTATGTAGAGCAGCCGCTTTCAAAATCAGGAAGCGTTATCCGGCGACCTTGAGCTCATGCGGCCGCGCGCTGGCCATCCATATTCACAGACAACATCTAGTTTGTCGGAGATAATTGGATTTTGCCGCATGCTGGCGCAGAAATAGAGGGAGGGCGCAGGGGGACATCCTTAGCGGGGGGTCAATGAACACGAACACGGGGTGAGACCGGCCAACCCCCCTCTCGGTCCTGTATCGGCATGCGCGGCTCGGGCAGCGATTTTGCCCATTTTATACCGACGCACGCTGTTTTCCCTCCTGGATAAATCTCCTTTTTATCATGCAAATGTGCTCGCAAGAACAAAGGGACGTGATTTGCCTATTTCAGTCCGGTGCAAGCGGCGCACTGAGGAGTTGCCAACGGACCGCTGAATGCATTTCAATGTGTCACGAATTCAAGAGACTCCCGCGTCGGTCTGAAGGTCGCCATCGAGACCCTCTGCTGCAGTATCGTTGAAAAAAATTCTCGTGGCGACACGGGACGGACATTCGCGGTTGTGACCAGGCGAACGGCAACTTCTCAACCAGCGTGTGAGAAGGAAAAAAAAGCAAGAGCCCATTAAGATGTTAAAAGCACAGCTTGTATTTTCATTGGCGGCGGTAGCACTTCATTACACTTGGACAATCAGCGTAGCGGGTCTGCGTGAACCGACTGGTCGATGCATCAACTTTACCACTCCGCAATGACGGTTGGCGCTTGGAGTTGATTCATCACCAACGTTTCAGCTTTTATAAGTGCGTGAAAATACAACGCGAAAAATGACGATCATCACAAGAGTGTCAACTCCCTAAAAATTGTAAGGCCATTCGACCGAAGCCAACCACAAATAGTCTCTCTTGACAATTTCACCCGCTCAAAAAAAAATCAGGGCTGGGCCGCTTATCAGAAGCTGAAACCGATAAAGTTATCGGCAGTTCATTTGTGCTTCCACAGTAACTTGGCGTGGCTTTCAGCTTTAACATAATAGCGTTTCGGACGGTGGAGTCAAAATTCGGCACTCCAAGACCCAAATTTTGGTACAAAAGTCATTCACACTCCATTTTGGATAACTGCCACCCCCTACTGGTATGGAGGTGCACTGTCTCTACTCAACATCAATATTTGGTTCCGGCAACATTCGCTTGTGCTTTCTTTAAAATAAGTTGACCTCCATAAACTCAACGATTTTTTTTTTCCATTGAAAGGCTGCAAATCCCATTGTGCAAATACCCGGAAACTTACACATCAAGTCGTCGAAAGGCGAACAGAATCTTTGGGTCGTTATTTTCCATTGGAGGATAAAAAGATATTTGAGAAAGGACACTTGCTAAGAGAGACAGAAAAGTCAATTGAGAGCCCCTGGGTGTTTGCTATTGTGCTATACATTTTTTTTTCTCCTAAATGGGGGCCAGTGACCGGCACGACTGGGCTTTTCATTCCCTGTTTGACCACATGTTGGCTGGCCGAAGTCATGACCCCGTGATGGGAAATCAATCAGGGGCTCTTTCGCCTGAGACGCGCCGTATCTGAAAAACGGCTCTGCCTCGCCGCCACCTGCCCGCCAGTGATGCGCTCGTAACTTTAAGCGGAATGAATTCGCTGCTCATTTCGATGCTGCCCTACACTGGGGCTGGGGGATAAAATAAAAATAAAAAAAAACGGTGTTGAATTGACTCCATTTTATTTTGTCACCTGGTGGCCCACATGAAAATCATCTGCATCCAGATACATTTTTTTCACAAGACTATATAGCTACTTAAAAAAATGGATCAAAATCCAGATGATTCTGTTGCGTGCAACCACTTCACAAATACAAGTAAGTCAATTCAAATATTTTGTACAAGGCCCTACTTTGCCCACAAAAGACCCCGTCCTGATCCAAAGTCGGAAAAGGGTGAGGGGGGCCCTCTCAGGGTCAGGGATGAGAGGCATCGGTCATCCGGGAGGGGCTCAGAATCGAGCCGCTTCTCCTCCACGTTGAGAAGAGTCAGATGAGGTGGCTCGGGCATGATTAGGATGCCTCATGGACGCCTCCCTGGTGAAGCGTTCTGGGCATGTCCCACCGGCAGGAGGCCCCCGGGGCGACCCGGGACACGCTGGAGAGACCATGTCTCCAGGCTGGCCTGGGAACACCTCAGGATCCCCCGGGAAGAGCTGGAAGAAGTGGCTGGGGAGAGGGATGTCTGGACTTCCCTGCTAAAGCTGTTGCCCCCGCTCCATATAAGCAGTAGAGAATGGATGGATGGAAGATCTTCTCCAGTAATGTTTCACAAGATGGGACAATACAAAAATGGGGATGTTCCACCATTCTTCTTTGGCACAATCTCTCTAAATCATCGGGCGCCCTAAGTTCTTTCCTGCGCCCCCTCCACGGGTTTTCATTGGGGTTTTTATTACGCCTTCATAAACTTTGCGATAAAAAGGAGTCCAGTTAAAGTTTGTCGATGAAATGCTCGAGTCAGCAATTTCTCGCCTCGCTGATGTATGACCAAGGTAAAGTTGGCGCTAAGCTAGCAAATCAACATACAATTACAATGTTGACACGGTGTGTGTTGCAGCATTTATTCTTATCCTTATTATTACCTATTAACAGTTTAAACTACTCGTATGGGTAATGATATCTATATTAAAAAAAAAAAAATCACGGGGTGTCAAATACCTTTTTATGTTTTCGCTATTCACAGCATGCTTTGGTCCCTATGACTGCACTGCTTTGTCACGTTCAGTATTTGCGAACGCGCTAATTAGCCACAGAAGCAGGAGACGCAGATGCAAAGCAATGGCGCGTGCGAGATGACACCCGGTTAAAAATGGAAATGCTTTCAGCTGCAGCAAGACACACAGTCAACCAGACAGACGGTATCATCCAGGCAGCGTATCATCTCCGCTTTGAAGGCGGGGTCTGAATCGGGTTCAAAGGTTCGAAGGGCGGGAAAGCGAAGGGAAGGGCAGAAAAAAAATCTTTTTTTATGTCCTCTTTGGCTTACCTGTGCCGGAAGTCTTTATTTCTGCCAAGAGCAGCAGTCAGAGGACACAAGACAGACAATAAATGTTAGTTGTTAAAAAAGAGAGTCTTGAAAGAAAAAAACAAAACAAAACACTTGTTAGTTGGTCGAATTAATCAAATGGTATACATCGGATTTCCCCAATGTCATCTGGGAAGACATTCACAAAGACATTGATTGTTTCTCTAGAAGAGAAGACGATCGGGTTCAAACTGATGTGGCCGCACGGATCCATCTCGTGCCTCCAGGGCATTTCTGTCCATCTAAATTGACCATCGTGTTTTGTGACAGCGGTTCCCCAACCATTGGGCGGCAGACCGGCACCTGGGCCATTTGGTATCCCGCCCCGCCGACGAGATTCAAGTTTTATTTCGAAAAATGGGCGGCCTCCATTCTCGCCACTGTACAAATGTCAAAGCCCTCGTGGCACGGTTGGGGCTTAAAAAAAAAAAAAAAAAAAACGTTTTGAGAGGGGTTCTTCGGTCCCCATGAGGAAACAGAAGAAGAAACTTCCAGTTGGAAACGCTGACAAATGAGGCCACTAAGCCTTCAAAAGTGCTTTGGCACATGCTGCTCTGTTCTGGAGCACAACCAAGGCAGAATATCCAGCACTCAATTCCTCGCTTGCAGTCACAACATCTTATCCGTGTGAGATTTTCTTCAACCACCATGAGCGAAAGAAAACGACATTGGTGGACTCTCGTTACTCCCGCTAATGACAAAAACGATACTCGGCGCTATGTTTGGGTTGTCTTTTGAAGCGTTTGTTTTCAACGCCGGCCTCAACAAAGTACTGGCGGCCGCTGCGTTACCTGAGTTCTAGGACGCTGGTGACGTTGCCCGTGGCGTAGATCCGCCGCACGTAGTTGAAGTCGCCCACGTAGAGGCTCCCGTCAGAGCCGCACGTCAGCGCCACGGGGGCCAGCAGCTTGTTCCCGTCGGCCATGCCGTTGCAGCTCGGGCAGGAGATGCTGCGGCGCCGGCCGTTGCCCATCACGCTCCCGATGACGGGCGGCTGCTGCGAGATGAAGATGTTCTCGCCGTTGCCCATGTGGAGGATGCCTGGTGAGGACACAGCGGAAGGGACGCATGGATGTCGTGCTGTTGTTTTGGGGGGGCGGGGTGGGGGGGGGTGCAGAAAGGGACTTGGGACCGCTCAAAGCAGGGGTGGGTGATACGGACGCAGTGGATGCCACGATATCAGTATTTGATATCAGTTGATATCAGTTGATATCGTGATATATATATTTTACACAATCCAAAAAAAATTATATTAAATGGGTTAAAGATTAACAAGAATCAAACCACTATCCAGAAACTAACTAACTTTCACTTTAAGTGATACATCACAACTAAAGTACGAAAATGTTTGCATGTCAGGGAGGAGCAAAGTTTTAAGCGTTAAACTCCCAATATTGGCAATTCTGCTAAAATTTACAGGAGGCGTCCATTACTCAATTTTTTTTTTTTTTTTTTGCTACGAGCCCTGCAACTTAATGACAACAGCCTCCTTCAGTGCGATCCATAAGCTCCTGTTTGAAATGCACGGAGCGCGTCTCTCGTCTTCCGACTCGTACTCGCCGGCGTGAGTGGTCTGAGCGGAGCAACGTTTGGTCCATCAGCGAAGATCAGCCGAGCATCCTCTTCCCGGGGCGTGATTAAATCTCGTGACGGCTTCCACGAGCAGCCTGTCGGTAATTAAATTAGGCTCGATTCTAAAAACGATGAGGCAAGGAAGTGAGGGGGAGGTGGGGTGGGATTCCGCCGCCCTCCTCCTCCTCCTCCGGGCGGCCTATTCCCACTCGCCGTGACAGATCAAAGCTTCCCGAGCACTTTTCCTATCAGCACGCCTCATCTCATCTCCTCCGATGAGGCTCCTGCGCACACCAAGCGGGACCCTCGCTCGTGACAGGTGACTGGCCGGAACTTTCTTCTCACTTCATCCACTTTTCAAGTGCCATTTGGCAGAAATGAAAAAAAATGACCCCTTGGGTGGCGAAGGAAAAAAAAAATGGACAGCGGTAATACGCAGCATATCAAAATGTATAAAAGGAGCTATGTGTTGTGGTAGGGAGTAGAATGTGTGTGGATGTGTCGCAATCGTGAGAAAAGATGACACAGCCCGGGCAGAGAAGGGAGGGGTGAGCAGTTACGCACTGAGGAGGAGGGACGGAGCAGGACGAAAGACACATTGCATGGGTGTGTTTTTGCTTGGTTGATTAACATGCATTGTCGTTTTAAATAAATGAATGGATTTAGTGGGTACTAGTTAACCCCAAGGACAAAATCTGTAAGCCACGGGTCGGTTCTAAAACTAGCTCACAAGGACACTGTGAATTAATAAATAAAAAATTACAGCAGGAAAAAAAAATGTTAACATTTATTTATTCTAATTTAACACGGAACATGTTTCTCAATGTAGTAAATCTTCCATAATTTGTTCAAAAAAATTTAATCAATTGAGGGTTTTTGCCCCCCTAAATATTTTTCCGAAAAAGGAGATTTTATTGCTCTAATTTAATTCAACATCATTTCGGTCCAGTGACAGATCTTCAAAATTCATTTCTAATAAAATAGCATTTTTTTTTTAAAGTAGAAAAATGTTCTTTGAAATGTCAGATTGTTTTTTTTCTTTTTCTTTTTTTGTCTTAGATTGATATCAGTGATCTCAACAGAGAGGAGTAACAGACATATGCGGGAAAACAAACAAAAAAAATGCATCAGGAAAAAAAAAAACGCAACTGTTATCTTAAATCCCATACGAATAATAATTTTAGCCGTGTTGCATTGTCTCCTACGGCTTGTGGGCGGCCGTAGGCGTGCAACAAAAAAGACCCCCCCCCCCCCACCCCCACCAGAATAGAACACCGCAAAAGGGATTTCAACGTTGACTCACCGCTCTGTATATTCAAAGCGTGGTGCTTGTCGACGGTCCAGCCGCCCAGCTTGGAGGCTGAGCTCTCGTATCCCTGCAGAACGGCCGTCCTCTTCTCCCACAAGATCAGGTCGGGACATGATTCATACTCGAAACCCACAGACACTAAAACAACAAAGGCAGGTTACCACATGACAACCTGGACTGGAAAACCCTCTTGACAAGAGCGGCTGTGGTGGTATGCGACCGCAACGCATCCCGCCGGGTGTCCTCTAATTGCTTATACAACTGTTTATGTACCATAAGAGTTATTCTCCCAATATAGTGGAAGGTCAACTCACTGATTTGTCCCATCGGAAATAAAGGAAATGATCTGTTCCTGGGTAAAACTCTCACCATCATTATATTAAATGTGTAGGAAAGTGATTTTTTTTTTTTTTTTACATTCTTAACTTAAATGGAAGATCAAGTTACTGGATATTGAGAAGACAACTTCATGTTGACTTAAATGAGTGGAGTCATATTGGACAGTAATCCCCCCGCATATTCAGTTTGCCATTCACAAATTCCCCTATTTGTGTATTTGTGGAGGTTTTTTTTTGGTGCAATTTATTAAAACCAACTTATCTCCCTTTCGTGGTATGCCCGTTCATTTGACATGCATCGACTTCCACACCATCTGATTGATCTCATTCCAATTTCAACATATTGCAAAAAATTCACATCTTGCGATCGATTATTTTTATCATTCAAAAAATTTACACCGTTCCCATAATTCAACATTTATCACCGACAAATTCTGGATTCCTTCTCCATGGTCACATTCAAGATGACAGATTGACAACGTTCCCAATTGAAATTCAAAAAAATTCAGCTCATGCACTTCGCCTTGGGAACGACTTGTCTAAAATTCAACATTTTCATAACTAAAATCCCCACCATAAAACTGACGCGTTCAATAAAAACAGATTCACCTCCTCGTTCCCATTTGAAATTTAAAACATTTCACCTTGGAAACGATTTTCAACATGCCAAACATTTCCATGCCCACAAAAAAAAAAATCCCATTTCCAATTCCCCGTCACCTAGATATCGTTCCGTATCATTCATATCATCCCGAATGCATCCATATTTTTTCATTCAGCATTCGCACAGAATTTCTCCGGACTTTTACAAAGGTCGACTCTTTTAGAACTGTCAATTCCGAAACCGTGAAATTGACCAAAACTGACCAAAAGCTTCGGACAGGCCGTAGACCTTCTGACTATAGACGTCCGTCTTGTCCCACACAAAGTCGTAGAGGAGGTCGGGCCCTGCGGGGAAGGACTTCCTGAAGAGCCGGCCCTCCACCGCCACCATGAGGTGCACCTTCATCAGGTTGAACGGGATGGCCGCGTGGGTCAGCGTCACCCTCAGGATGGACTTGTAACCCGCCGTCCTGCTACTCAGGTAGCCCAGCTTCATGTCCGTACCCGGGATGGGAACTTCCTCTTGCAGCGTCTAGCGGGGCGGAGCAAAGACAAAACAAAAGACATGACCTTTGACACTTTCAGGGACAGCGGTCACTACAGTGGACAGCTTATCGGGTTATCAGGTTAGAGGTGATCCTGATTGGTGCATGAAAGGGTTAATGTCCAAAAATCAAACTGTCAATATTTATTCGTATTTTTGGGGAGATATTTTGGGTGAGGTTTTGTCCACACCTTTTTCTCCATTTTTGTTTTCGTAGAAATTGTTTGGGTTTAAAAATTTCTTTTTTTTCCTTTTCCGTGGGTGTCCCCCCAGAAAAACAAAACAAAACAAAAAAAAAAAACAAAAGAACACATTCCTGAAGTAAGTGAGCCACTTGAATGTGGCCGTTTTGCTTGCATTTCAAACGTCGCAAGCCAGAAAATCAATCAAAAAATAGAGAAACCACCCAACATCAGTTTGACCAACTGACACTAAATTGGGTGGACACGTCAATCATAACAGGACGTCCCCCCCAAAAAAACATTTGTTGTGTTTTGGGGTGAATTCCAAGACTTTAAACATACAGAAGCCGAGACAGATTGACACCAAAAACAATCCAAGCCTCCGAGCGGGTCACGACGACCCGCCGCAAGGCCGGCGTGCTGCCACGTGGCCGTAAAAGACGGCGTTCGAATCCGCGTGGCCTTTTATTTCGCAACCAACGTCCATTTGTCTTCCCTTCTGGCGCTGACCAGCACAGACTGTCGCGTATTATTCATAACCTTTCCTCCGAGCAAATATATGGAGCCGAAACATCAATACGAGGACAATTACAGAGCGGCATCATTGGCAACCCGATGAAGGATTTCTTCATTATAGCGCCACTGAATAGTTTTCTGCATCGATTTCATAACAGAAAAGTCCTTCATTACCACCGCTCCGTCCTCGCCGTCTCGATGCGACGACGGCACCGCCGCGTTTGCCCTTGGGCCCGCGGCTTACACAGGCAGATAATATATGGAGTCATAACAACGGGCCGGGCGGCGACCTGCGCACATGCCGGGTGGCGTTTGCGCCGCAGCCAAAAGGTCAGCAAGCAGCGGTTTATTCCACTCCGCTCTAATTAAGTCACCTTTGCCCACCCCCTCAGCCTCCTTTTCGCCCCGGCAAGATTTAGTGTAACCATTAAAACAGAGACCCGCCAAAACGCCGGTCAGAGGACATGTCAGTCAGCGGCGCGTTTGGTTGCGCGGCGATTGATCCAAATTCGCCCTCGAGAGGACCGCAGAGCAGAGAATGTGGCCTTCAAAAAGAGGAGCAAAGACAAGGCGGCGGCTAAAAATAAGACTCATAACAAATTCACTGATATGCCATAAATCTTGGGAGGCAAACTGGGAGACGAGATAATTAGAAAAGGGCAAAGAGACGCCTGTTAGACTTTTGAGTCGCGCGCGCTCGACGCCGAGTTTGTGTGGAAAGGAGGTCAATGGAAACAGATGCAGGTGAGCCCACTTGATCACCATTTTCAACGGAATCCAGACACGATGAAGGACGACATCTCGATGAAGTGGCTGGGGAGCAGTTAAGCCGGTGACGTGTTACTAAGTAACGCGTTGCTCAAGGGCAGCTGCCATTTTGAGTAACTCGGAATCCAAAATATGACGATATCTCATAAGTAAATGTAATAAAGTAAAGCATTATGGGATCGGGTGATCGATGCCCGATCATCTGGGGCGGGAATGACATCACGCATGTCTCACCTGTACGTTACAAATAAGGAAGTTTGCTTGATTTTCGATCATGCCCTATGAGGCCACAAGATGGCGACAGAGCGACAATTTGTTGTCAAGGCATTCCAAAAGAATTTTTCCATGAAATACCGTGTGCTTACTTTGACCTTGAAGTTCATTTTGTTCCATGCCAAATTAGCTTTTCCCATTGATATGAATGGAAATGCCATTAATCTGTTCCAACCACCCCACCCCACCCAAAAAAATAGACTAAAATAAAGATGAATTTTAATATCGAAATGTAGCCTCATAATATGATGAACCCGCGATTCCCAAAGTGTGGTACAAGTCCCACTAATGGTTCTCGGGCTCCCTCTTGTGATATGTGAAAGAATCACGGCCCAAGAATAGTTCAATCGTATTAACTTTTAAGGACTTGCAATTATGCATTTAATTGTGAAGAAGTGTTTGCTTTTAAACTTTGATTAAGCGATTTGTTTAATCCGCCATTCCGTGTGATACATTTTCAGTGCATCAATGTTTTAGTCCAGCTCTATCGAAGCACAACGTTAATCTGCATAATGCGGCAGTGGCTTACAATAGCATTCCATATTCTTGAAGGAATGAAACCTCAATGTTGGAGTTGATGAATATTTGGTCCTAATGCACGACAGTCATTTCATCTTGGTCGTGCCGGTGCTAAATGGAGAGCGAGGACTGGCGGAAGAGGTCGCAGCGCCACGGTTATAAACAACGGAAATACCCAACAAAGCTTCTCCATCCATCAAGTTTTCAACAGCAGCCCTCTCCGGTACATTATAGATCGGAACACGTGTTTTCATGCTGTATCTTGTATGAAACTACACGTTCGGCTTGTGTCAGTGAGATATTTACAGAACATATTCATATTCCGGTTCAATTTGGCCTTGCTTGCGCTGTTAGTGTTGTACAATTTTGCCAAACCCCAGCAGGACAAAATTGCATCGACATCACGCTAACATTTAGAAGAGGAAACGTTTTTCACCGAACTGAACGTTCTTTTCTTTTGCCACGCGTTCCTCATTTTCAGCAGTTTCTCCATGTTTTGACGAGCAGAGGTCCACAGCTGAGGAATTATTCAAGCGGCCTTGGCTGTCATTCCCTTTATTGACGTTCTCGCCTTCAGCATAGTACATAATGTACGACGCTCGAACTGCTTTGGCAACATCGACAACACAAACACCCCTCTTATGATTTTTTTCTGTGATTTCGAGCTTGAATTCAATGGACATCATCCACTTCTTCTTCTCCGCACTCTCGTCCTTCCGAACCGCGTTTAACCCTTTCGGGGACAACGGTTATCAGCCTACAGGGTGCGTGAAAGGGTTAATGACTGCGCAAAAAACAAAAAATGCCAGGCAACCATGCCAACTGAGGGCGGCCTCGACGGACATGACTGAAGCTCACCGGTGTTATTGATGGACACGTGGCAGCTATAAATCGGGCAACTCAATAAGCCGTCAAACTAACGACGACGCAGATTTCGGCGTCAAATATCAACGTGATGCTCCGGATGACTGTGAACGCGCGCTCCCATCCACGCTCATTGACGCTGGAGACGGGCCAAGTTGCGAAGAAGAGCAATTACACGAGAAAGACAAGGATCACCGCGGTGACTATTACACTTGATGAATAGCGCTCAGAGTTTGGCACATGCGTGGGATGGATGAATCATTTGCAGGAGACCCCTGTGTGTGTTTCAGCCTATAGCTGGGGAGCAGGAAGGTGTGTGTGTGTGTGTGTGGGGGGGGGCTCACGTCACCTGGATTTCGGGCACCACCGTCCCCCTCTCGGCGCAGGAGCCGGCGAAGGCGGTGAGCGGCGCCGGCGACACCACGGGGCTGGGCCGGGCGAAGCTGCTGAGGTCACAGCTGGGGATGTCGTTCTCCTCGTGGCGCATGACCACCGTGTCCATGACGAAGAAGCGTCCCCACGGCAACCACAGGGTGTGCTCCTGCGTGATGAACGGCGCGCGCTCAAAGTGCAGCGCCACGGCGATGCCCCCGTCGGTGACCAAGTCAAAACTGAGAAGGCAAAAGGGGGCGTACGTGACCCATTTTATCTGCTTGAAGTGGAAGTCAACATTTTTTTTTTTGTTTCCCGCAATTGATAATGTGTTGGTAGAATGAGAATTTCAGTCAATCATTCCCCCGTTTTCGGCATTCTCAGGGCGCAGCCACTTTGACATTGTGGCGCCCCCTTCTGTCAACTGAAATATCCCAGTAAAGAAACATGGAGACGTCTCAGCTCCTCAGGAAGCCTCCAGTGATGTTGGTGGTTCTTTGCAGAGGATAAAGAAGACACGCCTATTTTTACATGATCAGGCCTTCATGTAATTCTGCAGATGAGCTCATGACCACCATTTAGTGTTGGCATTGAACATTTTTGCTCAGAAGAGACTGCAAAAAATAAATGAATAAATGAAACAGCTTAACGTATCTCAATCTTAATGTGACGAATTATGCTCAGCATTATTTTCAACCTCCAGACATGAAGAAGGTCGCGTCTAAAGATCTTTGCTTGAGAACGAGGGCTCTTTTAAGCTGGGAAAACAGCGGCAGCGTATGGCGACAGGCAGAACGATTAAATGCTCTTCCACAAGACGGCAGAAGGTCCGATTAACAGCTGGAGCCATCTGTTGCCATTCGCCCAACAAAATAGCATTGCATCATACTGAAAGCTCCATACTGCATATTTAGTTAATAACAAGTGCCTTAACAAAAAAATACATGAATAAACGGCATCAATACAAATTGTTCATTCTTGAGCCCAAGTATTACAATGTGTTCTTCCAGAGGTCCGACGTTGTTTGTGCGCGCTCGTGAGTGTGCGTGACAAAGAGCTAGAAAGCGGCATCGATCCCTCCGACGGAGGCGGTCCACTCCAGCATCAGTCTAAAAGCCCCGACGTGCAAACCCATCTACTCGGCCGCATTATCGGGTCTGTGCCTTCGGATGCAATGCGTCCAGTAAGCGGACGCCGTCTGGTGTGCGCACGTGATTGCCGTCCCGCGCGCTACTCGTCACTTCCCGCCGAGAGCTGATTAGCACCTGCTCACTCCAGGGACACGCTTGTAAGCGCAGCGGGCGGCCGCACGGAAGGAAAGCGGCCTGGTTATTAAAAGTACAGGTGGGCCTCTTTTGGAGGAGGGGTGGGGGGGGGGCTGAAAACCACTTTTGGGCCGGTCGGGA